AATTTTAAATTGTGTGAGATGACTATTTAGTGTAAGGTTTAAACTTTAATTAGGATCTTCGAAGTTTAGTATGCTCATGCTTGAGGACTACTGAGATGGGTGAATTTCTGAAAAATTATACTAAAGAACAAAACCATTAGGTTAACTAGATTAAAGTAAACAATACATTTATAGATGAGAGCTTGGGATGTGCATCCTTGTCCATTTATTCTTTAAATAAGATGGTAACTATTTTGTACAAGTTCTCGCCATCATCCTCGGGTCAAACGTTTTCACTTCTTAATCATTTCACATTAATTTTATCTACATCTGATAAGTTATACGCTCCACTTTATACAAGCTCAAATCATCTAAGCCTATTTGCTCACACCATCCATCTAATATACAATCTATAAGTTGTCAACATTTATCCCAAATCCATTGAAGAAAGGTTGGGCATTATGTTAGGTTGATTTCTACATATAAGTTATACTAAAATTCAGAAAATAATTTAATATTATAGAACTTAGTATTTTAAGAAATGGTTGAGCTCATGATCTATTGATAGGCCTACATGTAAGTAAACCAAAAAATTGAGATAGCTTGCGTGCATCTTATATGTGGAATTCTGTCACTGTTAGGTGGCCCACACCGTCGGCCATATGGGCCCCACAGATTCAATTTGAGGAGGTTATTAGAGGGAGTTGCTATTTTAGCTTATTTTATTTTAGACTTTTCTTATTATGTTGTGTCTTTCCTTCATTATTTGTTTTGTATTTGGTAAGTTGAAATAGTCTTAATTGTGTTTTCCCTACCCGTTTCCCATATAATAAAGGGAAAGGTTTTAATTTGAATATGATGGAATAAGAGAATATAGTTTCTCCACCTTTCCTCAATGGCATCAAAGAAGGTTCGGCCGGTCATGTCTAGTTTGCTCATACTCATCGTTTGCATCGTTTGTCTCTACATATTGTCGTTTGTCACGGCTGTGACCAATGAAGCCTACTTCATCTTAATCTGTGTTGTTTGAGGCGTCTTTTTCCTGCATCGTCCGCAACACCTCTTTCTTATGAAGTCTTCTTCCTGTGTCGTATGCGATGTCTCCTTTATGTAAAGTCTGCTTCATCTTCCTTTATGTCATCTTCCGACGGCATATGCGATGGAATGAGGGTATTGTTCGCTTCAATCGACTCTTTTCTTTAGTTCAAGTCAACTATTTGTTAGGTTGCTTCATCATTTCCTTTATCCTAAGAAAGCAAACAAACCCTAGCTCACTCCTACAGTTGTCCGAGCCTCTCGAACAGTCGTCCAGTAGCCGGGCCTTTGTTCCTTATCGTAGTCATTGGACTCCATTTCCGTAAGAAGCAGCTAGGGCTATGAATTTAGTTTGAAGACCATTAAAAGCCGAAAATTGATTTGAATTTTAGCTTAGATTGAGATTTGATTGAAATAAATAAGTCCAGATATGAGCGAAATCTTTGGATTGAATTTTTTTTTGAGCTATACACGGCTAGGCTTTTAGTTTTTTTTTATTAATTATAAAAATTGTATAAAATGCTAAATAAAATTGAATATAGCAAACTACGACCCGATTTTGAGCTGAAACATATCTAAATAACTCAATTTGAGTCATCGTGTTTTGATTTCGAGCTAGATCGGGCCACTTTTAAGCTAAAACGGAACCAAATAACTAAAATTTGAGCCAGCTCATTTCGATTTCAAGCCAGATCAAACTCGATTCAATTTCGAGACAAGCTGGATCGAAATAGGAATGAGTCGCGAGTATATTTTGATCTGAATTCAATCAAATTGAGTCGATTTCGAGCCAACCTCAGCTCGGCTAGAGCTCTGACTCATTAACAGTCCTACAAGCAGCAACCATCTCCCTTCTCCATCCCTAAACGTGCATAAGATACATGACCAAAGAATGAAGGTGTTTAATTCTACTATCGAAGTTAGTTTTGAATCAGAGACCATAAACTATCCTAACAGCCCCTGAACTCTCTTTATTTATCACAAATCATAAACTCAATTGTTATAACTTCCTTCAATGGTCTCAATCCGTGTTTATGTACATTTGTGAAAGAGAAAAATAGGAACATCTCGCGGAAGAGGAGAAGATCCTGAGCTCACTGATCCTAACCATCGCTCATAGAAGATCCAAGATCATATGGTCATATCTTGGTTGATCAATTCTATGAACACAGAAATTGGAAAAAAGATCTTGCTTTCCAGGTCAACACAAGAGATTTGGGGCTTGACTTTAGGCGAGATGTTCCTTGTTTGTGTTTTTATTATGTTGCAAAGTTGTACCCGACCATCTTTATTAATAAAAAGCTAGAGTGTTATCAATGTGAAACATGCCAATTGGTTAAGCGTACTTGTCATATATATATATATATATATATATCTTTTATCTAAGCACAAACCCACATCACATCCTTTTTCAATCATCCACAGTGACATTTAGTGACCATCCAAATCGAAAATCATCAATAGAGCGAGAGGATTTATCTCCTTCATTAATGATCACAATAAAACCAGTTGGATATTCCTCGTAAATGAGAAATCTGAAACTACACAAATCTTTAAGTCTTTCCATGACATGATTTACTCTCAATGCCAAAGTAAAATTCATATTACAAAAACTAATAATACAAGAAAATATTTCAAGCAGATCCTTGGACCCAACCATACAAAGAATGATATCATTGATGTAGTTCCTATGTTGAGACTCCACAACAAAATAAGATATTTGTAAGGAAAAATAGACATCTTATTGAAGTCTCTAAATTTAAAATACTTTCTCACAATATCCCATAATTTTTTGGGAGATGCGCGTCATAATCACCTATCTCATTAATAGAATCTCAAGCAAACTCCTTGGATTTCAAAGCCTAACTACATGTTTTGATGAAAACATACCCTCATGTTAAAGCATTCTCATCCAAAATTCCTCTAAAAATAATTAGTTGTCTCGGCCAAAAATTCATCAAATGTATTTTTCTCGGTTATGCTTCTAACAGAGGTAGGTATAGGAATTATCCTCCCATTACTAAAAAATATGATAACTTCATGTATGTTACATTATTTGCAACACAATCCTACAGCCCCAAATCTAAGTCTAGGTCAATGATAGATTTGGGACACTATTCTGGATACCCACTAAACTAGAGTCACCAGAACCTATTATACTTTCATCTAACCATTCTGTCGTTCAAGTTCTAACACTTGAGGATATCCAATCTTAGATTGATAAGAAAGAAATGCACAATAAACTTCGTGTGTACACTAGGAGAAAAAATTCAATTAGCAAGATAAATACATTATGTAACAACAGAATCATTCACAAGCAAAGTTGAATCTACACATCTTTGAAGTTTCAAGGAGAGTAGAATCCAATGAAGAAGACAAGGAAAGTTGCACAAATTATCATATCTAGGAGTATGTTGTATATTAGAAGTTATCATCACCTCATAAAGCTTTTGTATCTAATTTTGATAGTATGCGGATACTCAAATCTATTCATGAAGACTTCAAAGTCCAGCATTAAAAAGACAGTTAAAGAGAAGATCCATGCATTTAATCTAAATGACACATAGACCTTTACAAAACTTAATCGAGATAAAAGACCTATTGGGTGCAAATGAGTGTTCAATGTTAAGTACAAAGTAGATGGGAGAATTGAGAAGTTCAAGACTAGGTAGGTGGTCAAAGATTTCATTCAGTATCATGGGATAAACTATTAAAAGATTTGCACCAATGGCAAGCTAACATTGTTAGAGTTCTTCTTTCCTTGGCAGCGATCAACGAGAGGGAATTGCATCAACTTTAATGTCAAGAATGTATTTTTGCATGAAGACCATGAGGAAGAAGTGTATATGGAAATCCCACCAAGACTATAAAATGAGTAAAACAAACATCTAGTTTGTAAACTAAGAGAGTCACTTCATGGCCTCAAACAATCTCCACAGGCTTGGTTTGCAAGTTTGCTAAGACTATAAAATCTAATGGATACATCTAATGCCAAGCTAATCATACATTAATCATAAAGCATGCACAGAGAGATAAAAAAACTATACTTGTTATCTCTGTAGATGATATGATCCTAACAAGTGATAATAAAAAAAAATTCTAACATTAAGGAAGTTCTTAGCACTAATCTGAAATCAAGAATCTAGGAGCTATGAGATATTTTCTAGGCATAAAAGTAGCCAGGTTCAAGAAGAAAATTGTGGTATCCCAAAGAAAGTACATGCTAGATCTATTAAAAGAAGTCAAATCAAGCATAAGCAAGATGATGAGTTGTGGGATGCTGAAGGTTAGAGTTTTCTTCTTTTCTTTTCCTCAATTTCAAAGGTAAATTTTAAAATAATTTTTTATATTTTCTCAGATTAGAAAATCCTACATTTAACCTTTAATTGCAAAATGATTTGTTAAAATTTTTTTAGGATTTTAATTTTTGTATGAAGAGAATAAATCAAGAGAATCAACATAACATGCCAATTATGATTTAAAATGATGTGTGTTTGTCGTGAGACTCTACCCTTGCAGAAAGATCCATACAAGGGCATGCATTGACATTTTTTATTTTATTTTATTTTTTTTAACTTCAGAAGGATTGAGGATACTTCAAGTTGAATAGTATCACATAATTTTTCTGTTTGGTTGTATATCTTAAAAATGAAAGATATATCTTTCATTAGTTATTATGAGCACATTAAGTTGAAGAATAATTGCATAGTTTAGAGACTTTGCGATGGAAACATGTCAGATGTAAGCCTTATTGAACAAGGAGTCCTACCAAATGCAGGTACTTGTTCACACGGAATTTCCCCAACCACCACCCAATCCAGCAGAAATAAAAATAATAAAAATATAAATAAGAGCAGGAAATAAGAAATGAATAAAAATGCTTGAGTACAACACATGCATATGACTTCTATAAACATAGTTGCTCATCTAATTCCATGTTTTGCAAGAGTGTAAAGCAGGTGGAAAGGGAAGGAGAAGAGCATTACCTCAGCACCAAGTAAGTAGCCTTGCACGGCAGAGTGTCCAAAAGGATCTATTTGCCAACCAATTCGAGGAATCTTGTTAAATTGTTTCTTTATCAACCGATGACCAAGAGTAGTTTGATCAATAACATCAATGTAATGAACTGTTGCTTCATCATGCATACACCAGCCACCATTTCTAAAACCAAAGAAATCCTTGTCACGCCGAAGCAAAACCACTGTGAAGAGAAATATATCTCAAAAGAAGATCAAAATTTCACACATACATGAACTCCAATTGCCCAGAATCAACCAACTTTTTTACCACTTCCTTCGTTGCCTCACTTTGTTCTCCCCACCATCTTTGGAAAAAAGCCTATGGTCCCATCAGATCTTTTTAGGGATTTATATTGTAGATATAAATAATATAAAATAAGGCATTAATTAAAATAAACAAGTCATTGTATCTTTAATTTAAAATGCAACAATGAGATAGGTGTAGGCTTGAAGTTCAGACGCCGATACCAAACAAGTAAAATTGTGTCTTGAATGCCAGCTGGTTTTACAACAGCATAAAAAATGCGCAGAAATGACATTTAAACAAAATATTTTCTTCCTTGCACTTTTTTATGATAATTGTGTTAATATTCATTTCAGGGTTAGCGAAACTTTCAATGGACTGCCCGCCTAAACTTAAAAATTTAACTATACACCCAAATATGTGAAATTTGTATGTTTCAGCATCCACACAGTTAATCAATGATTGAGAAAATCTATGCTGCTTCCTGGTACTATATCATATATTTTAATCGCAAATGCAAAGTTTTCTCTCCATGAAAAGAAAAAAAATGAACAAACTAGACATATAACTGCTCACTAAAGCTAAATCGTCCGCAGTTTACTTATAAATTTAGATTGATAATGATTAACAAAAATAAACCTCTAATAATGAATAATTTCGAGCTTACTTATACGTCTATTAGACTAACTTTATAATGCAGAAGTTAGGAAACATGTATGCAAAAAGCTACATAAGGATCTTATTAAAACAAATTCAGTAGTCCTTGATTTTACAATCAATTCCTTTGATTCTTGAGTCAATCACTCAGCAACGGACTGTTCAGAGAGCTGATTTTACACTACATGCTCCTCTTACACGCAAAAATCGGCACACTTCAACATATCCCGAGTAGAAACAGAACGCAAAGCCAAGAAAAAGACCAACTTTATACCTGCTCGACATAAACAAACTTCCTGTTTGGATCTTTGAGCAACGCAACAACCACAGAGTCCAGCACATTGGCAACACAAGCACCCTGTACACATATTGAAAGTAAGCAATGATCTCGAAACCACCTCCCCAATGGCATTCAACACTGATTTGAAAGTGAGAGAACAAACCTGTATGCTATTGTTAGAGCCGACATAGTACTGATCTACAGTCTTCAACCAACCTACATCATCGTGAGTGTGAGGTACGAGATGAACATTGAGCTTCCCGTCAACTATGCCGCCGCTGGTATTGTACTGGATGAAACTTGCCCTAACCTCTGCAACGAAGATGGATACCAATAGCAGTGTCGCTAATGCCACTGAGGACGACCACATATTTTCAGCGGAGAAGAAGATTCAGACCAATCTGAGGACCCGTAAAGTTTTATAGAATAAAAAAAATGGAGACAGCGAAGCGTTTGATCTGTTCCTCATAGAATGAGGAGGATTAAGTTAAGTTTGAGGATTACCGTTCCTTTCATCAAGTCATGGTAAGTAGGTTGCCATTGAAGGCGGAGTAAAAAAAAACGAAAAAAGTTGCCCGCACCCGCCGCCAACTCTCGCGACGTAATAAAAAATTTCCTGTCTCGGGTCCATTGGCGGATAGGTTGCGCTTTGTTGATGGTTCAGTTGCCGTAGCAGGCAAGCCGCGACCAAAGTCTGCCTTGCTGCACGATAGCCGTTAACGACGACTAAATTTTGGGCTCAGAGCATATTTGGATGTGATCGTAGAAAGTATTAAATAAGTGACAATCCTAACTAATTTTTTAAAGATTTTAATTTTAAAGTTAATTTTAAACAACTATTTATTAAATTAAAAATGAACTTTAAATAAATTAAAGAATATATTAGTTTTAATTTGTTCAGGATAATCAACTCAAACATAAATATTTATATTATTTAATTCTTTATTGATAAATATATTGCTGAGCAATTAAATTATTACAGCTTTAAACTATTAATAAATAAATATTATTCTTTATTTTTTTTAAATTTAAAATAATTACCTTATGTTTTGATTAAATCATAATTATTTATCTTTTTATTAATTGATTATTAAGTTAGAAATGCCTCTCTCTCTCTTGATGTCATTGTTGCATCCACTTACTCTTCATTCTAAAAATGTGAGTTGCAAAGAACTAGTCACAACAACAACAACAAAGCCTTACTCCCACTACATGGGGTCAGCTACATGAATCTTTTATCTCCAAATAACTAGTAATGATTAAAATTTAGGTAACGAAATTTTATTTATTTTAAAGAAGCTGGCCTATAAAGGCTTAGTTTTAAGCAAAATTCAGGTAAAAAAATTTAAATCATTTTGAAAATATTTGAGTTTCAAACACTTCTAACAATATAATTTTTAGTGCAGATTCTCTATGTTTGATTAAACACACCCTTCTTATGGATCAATATTTTCTATTTGAAGACACTGAATTTTAGGTTTTAGATTTAACACCATTAACATCCTATTGATAGAAAGGTTTATTTGCATACCATAGGTATATTTATTTTTAATATTTAGGCTAGGTACAACATGATAACTCTTAATTTGATTCCATGCTTCCAAAATTTTATTTCCTAGCATAAAATTTCATGCAAAAATAATAATAATTAACAAATGAAAGAACACAAATAATTGACCTTCCACACTTTTTGATTTTTTTTCTCTAATTTTTCTACAATTTTTGAGGGCTCTATCTTTACTATTTTTCTTTTACTCTATTAAGTGGTTGATGTTTGCTTGCATTATTTCTCTAATATTGCTGGTTCTTAATCAATTCTATATATTTCATCATGTTACTTCAACATTGAGCTATAATTTTGAGCATTCTACTCATTTTTCAACTTACATGTAATCAATCTCTGTTATGGGAGAATGTTGTTTTATGCTAGATGGTTTGGGTGGGTTGAACTTGTTTTATGTTATCATTGCATTGGACTGTCTTTTGTGGATGGATTTTAGAAATGATGGCCCTCCGGTCGCACGTTGTCGTTCCATTTGGGTGTTGTCGTTGTTTTGGTAGAGTCGTCAGTTTGTTTACCATCGTATAATCTTTCTTTATGAATAACTCTCTCTCTAATCATGTGAATGATCTAAAGATAGAAGAGATCAGAGGGCTGAGGCATACAATGGCAGGAGCAAAACAAAAGAAACAAATAGGGAAGCTTTCGTGAGGTAGACTTCACGTAGATAGCTCCAAAGTGTATGTTCGAGGTAAGCTCGACTTATGACACTTCAGAGCTGTACTCGTGAGGAGGGTCTGACAAAAGCAACCCCACGACCAGAGATTCAAGTTATTGTACTTGTTTTGGGGTTTTATTCTTTCTATAAGGGCAAGCCTCTATAGTTAATTACATCTTAAAAAAACTCAAAATGCTTAAAAACTCCTCATTAAGGTTGTAATTCATCCTCATAAAGTTTGAATGTCATCGTTTTCAAGGAAAGAGTTTCAAAGTCCTATCCTAAGGGAAGTAGATGCTTGAAGGCTCAAAAGAGTCCTGCCGAGATCCCAAACTATCCTATAGTTTTGTGTTTTTGTTAATGATTTAGTTGGGGTTAATCTTTTGCTTTGAGTTCTTAATATCTGTCTCTAGAACACATAGTTAGCACACCCTCATAACATCTAAACTAAATTGATATGTACAAAGCTTACTTAAATTCCTTTACTTTTTGCACCTTTTTATGGATGAATTGCACTTTAAAGTAAGGTGTTTTTTTGTGTTTTTATTGTAGGAACAAAAAGTAGGAGAAGTGGAATGAAGTGGAGAAGAAAAGAAGCAAAGCGGAGGTGATGTGGAGTTAAAGAAGCACTAAGTGACTAGCGCCTAGGTGCCAGCCTTTGGGCACCATGGTGCTGCACTCAAATGTCTTTACACGACACACTTGGGTGCCTAAGCGTTAGTCTCTACCCGGGCAGACAGTAAGCTTGACGCTTAAGCACTAGCAACTGCTGGGCAATTTTTTCAGCAATTTTCCACATGACATAGGGAGTTATTTAGAGGTTGTGAGGAGTTCTAAAAGGGCATATTTAGGAGAGAATTAGGGCTTTTACTTAGAGAATTTGGTGAGAATTGAGAGATTTATTGTAAGGAGATTACATATGCACTAAAACAAGGGTTCGTGAAAGCCTAGGAGAGCATTCTCAGAGCATTGTAAAGTGGAAGAAGCTAAACATTGTGCTTTTATTGTATTATATTTTTGTAAAACACAATTATCTAGTGGATTTGCTTTATGTTAATAATATTTTTGCAGTGTTTTTTCCTTGCCTGGTGAGTAGTCTTTTCACCTTTCTCTTACAATGATTATGTTAGTTGTACAGGAATGGTAGAATGCTTTTAAAATTAATTTTCCATCTTTAATGTGATGAGTATTCTTCTATGCTTCATTTACTTTTTATTCTCATCAAAATGATTAGTTAACACATGTTTTGATCCATAATGACTCTGAAGAGCTTTGGAAGAATGATTAGAATATTCACATTGAACTATAAGTTATTAAGCAAAAATAGACTATAGAGAGATGCAAATAGATAGGGAAATAGTCCTTGATGGGTTCAAATTAGGGTTTTTGGAATTAAAACTAGTTTGATCAAGCTTCTTTATGCACTCAAGAGAAGGTAAAGTAGAAAATTGCTCCTATTTGTCACTAGCCATAATCACACATTTAAGTATTGGTTTTCCTATACACTACATATATCATTGCAAGGGAGAGTAGTTTTTATATCTTGATTTTCATCACTTCAAATATAATTAGTAGGATTTCTATAGGAGTAAAACTTAAATTATAGGTAGTAATTCAGTAGAATTAGTTAGCAACACTTAGATCCAACTTTACATTCAGGCTAAGACTCATTTTAGTCTGTCATAACTTCTCTTAAGAATTTAATTGTCTCTTTTTTTCCATGGGATAGATATACCAAACTCATAATTCTAATTTTAATGATATGACACGTATACTTGCGTGAAACTACAGTGTGCAAGTGCATCTGAACCGGGAAGGGTATCGAGTTTTTGGTGTTATTGCCGGGGAAGCGACGGTGTAATTAACTTAGGAGAATTTTAGTTGAATGAATTAGACATAGATCATACTGTAGTTTAATTTATTAAGTGTTTGTTTGTTTAAAAAAAGAAATTATTATTTTTGTGTTTATTTAGTGTGTTTTAGTGATAAACTTACTAATTGAGTCCTTAGTTAGTGAAAGCATAGTGCAAGAACCTGTAGGACTTGTGCCACACGATTTATAACTAGAGATGACTATTAGGAAAATGAAAAAATAGAAAAGACTTCACAAACTTGTAGAATAAATGATGAATATTTAACAAAATAAAGTAGATAACCAAATAACAATTAATGAACATCATAACTTGCATAGACTATTAAGGGATTACGTTAATCATACAATAAATGAAATTTACTTCAGTATTCAAACTCCTACCATAGAAGCTAACACTTTTGAACTGAAGCCTGTTATTATCCAAATGGTGCAGAACAACCAATTTGGGGGTATCTCGTCTGAGGATCCAAATTTACACTTAGCAAGTTTTCTAGAACTTTGTGCTACATTTCATTATAATGGTGTGTCAAATGATGTTGTTAGACTTAGAATTTTCCCCTTTTCCTTGAGGGATAAGGCTAAAATTTTGTTAAACTCATTAGCACCTAGTTCAATTAGGACTTGGGATGACTTAGCTCAAATATTCCTAGCTAAGTATTTCCTACCTTCAAAAACTGCTAAACTTAGGAATAATATTACTTCATTTTGTTAGTTCGAAGGTGAGTCAATATACAAAATATGGAAGAGATTTAAGGAATTTATAAGGAAGTGCCTAGATCATGTGCTGCCCGATTGATTAATAATTCAAACTTTTTATAATAGTTTAATAAGATCCCTTAGATCTATTATTGATGATGTCACTATCGATGGCGGTTCACTCATGTCAAAGCCATTTTATGAGGCTTAATCTTTGATTGAATTTATGGCTACAAATAATTTCCAATGACATTCTGAATTAGTAAACCATAGAAAGGTAGCAATGTGCATGATACAGATGTGCTTCCATTTCCTACTTCTCAATTAGCAACAATATCAAGGAAGTTAAATCAATTTGGAATGAACCAACCTTAAGTACCTCCAGTCATTGAGGAAAATTCATTTAGAAAAATGGTTGATTCTAACACTTCATTATTTGAGACTTTAAATGCAATTAATAACATGCCTAACAACCCTTATTCCAACTTCTATAACCTAGGTTGGAAGAGCTAGCCTAATTTTAACTAGATTAACAATTATGGTGGGGAAATCAACAATGGAGAAATAACCATGAAAATCCCTTAAGAAATTAGAATAATTAGGGTAGTGTCTAATCTATAATTTAAGGAGAAGAAGTTGTCTTTGGAGGACGTTTTATTGTAAATGGTAAATCAACTGTAAAGTCAAGGTGCAACAATACGGAATATAGAGAACCAATTGGGACAAATTGCTAACTCACTAAGCAGTCGGCCTTCAGGAACTCTTCCTAGCAACACTGAGAAAAACCCTAAGGGGAAGAATAGTGAGCATGTTAACAGTGTCCAATTAAAAAATGGAAGAGAGTTGGAGGATTTAGTTTGAAAAGAGATTGAGGTTAAAAAGGAGACTATGGAAATTGAAAAA